TCAAAACACCCTGACACTGCTCTAGAATTGGTCAAAGATATCAGTTACTTCAAATTAAACAGGCCCGCTGTATGGAGGAGCAATAAACGAGAGAATTTTGCCTATTCAGATTTGGAAAAAAAGCAGCAATGATGTGTATAAGGCAGATAAGAGTAGCCTTTTTAGTAATGAACATCGGGTAATATTAGCATTCTGGTTACATATTTTGATTTAGGCTTTTTGTCATTTCTTTACTATTATTAACACCAAGCCTTCGCTTTTAGAACGAGAGTTATTCGTATATTGTATGTGTTGTTCCTTTGCCAAACTTCACCCGGTATCCAGAACCACCAGAATCCCGTCTCGGATTTCTTAATGTGTTTGGATGGCACAATTATCTCTCTCCATTTGCTAGTGCAGTTCTTCAAGGTCGATATGACCTATTTGGCGAACCAGCCATGGAGGCGGTTATTAATTTCAAGTGGAGGAAATTTGCTAGGACACGATATATCTTTCTTACCGGTATATATTTCTTGTATCTTACTTCATTCATGGCAACTGTTACTCTCGATTCTGAAAGAGTGCAACCGAGCAGCAGGACCGAGAATCTAATCAAATTATCCTCGTTTGTGGTGTTATTATTGGGAATTATGTTTACTGGACTTGAGATGATGCAAATTATTGCATATCGCTCTTATTATTTAACTATATATAATGTTATTGGTCTAGCAAGTACTGTCTTGCCAATAATTTACACTGTGGAAGTACTTTTGGGAAGCAACAGTAGACGTCAATACGTTGGCAGCGCCATGTTTTTTGTCTATATTAATTTGGTAAGCATTTAATTAATTTAATGCTGTCTTCAAATAATTAATTTTAACTAAACCTGTCACATTCTGTTGTAGATTCTACAACTCCGTGTATTCAAACTTTTCGGAATACCAATATTTATAATCACAACAATAATTGCCAGAGTACAAGGGCTTATGTACATACTTGCAATAATGATGTTGGCATCCGCACATATATACTGGCTGTTATTCTCCTTCACGGAAGTTACAGATTTGGTAGGCGATAGCACAGTAATAAACGGCTTTTCAACTCCTCTAAGATCACTGACTTCGGTCTACTTTTTCATGGTAAGTAGTTAAAAACATCAATCCAAGTTTTGTTAAATTACGAAGATAGATCTTAATTAATTCTTGCTATTACAGACGGGAGGCGACTTTGGCTCTATTACTGATGCGTTCGGCAATGCGACAATTGTAATTTTGACAATCACAGTTTCGTTCATAGGCACAGTTGTATCGTTTAACATCTGGATTGCGTTAATGGGTGACATCATCGCTGATTCCAAACTTGATAGTAAATGCTTTTGGCTTAAACTGAAAGCAGAGGTAAGCTTCAGATGCCTGAATATTTAATTTGTCGACTTTTCGTTTTAAGCGTTGACTGATTTCCGACCGTATATAGCTCATATGTGAATTAGAGATGTGTACGCTTACGCGGAAGCAAAGACAACGGGCCGATTTCTTTCCATACTTGATATATTACTACGCAAACGACGATTCCATAATAGAATACAAGAAAAGACTTGAAAAACGTAGAAAAAGGGTACAGACGA